CTAATTGATAGAGAAGAACCCAGCCCACCGTGGGCGGTGCCTTCCCAAGGCAGGGGAGCCTGAGCTCTACAAGAAAGATAATTAGAACCAGAAAGCAGTTCCTCCTAAGGTTTCTGCCTCAAGCTCCTGCCTCGACTTCCCAAAATAGACCCTTTCCTGCCCAGCTGCTTCTGGTCGCGGTGTTTATCACAGCAGCAGAGAAGCAAACTAATACAAATGCACTGTAGGGAAAATAGGGAATGGTAAGGAATGAATCCACCCCTACAAGGGAAAAGGGAGGACTGACGTCCAAAGATACAGCCTAAGAGAGAGGACACTCCCTCACCTCAAGATAGTGCGGTGCGGCCTTTAAAGGCCCCCTCTCGGAGTTTGATATCTGTTTGCTGTTATTGGAAGAGAAGGAAGAAAGATTTCGGGAAGACATGGAATGTCCTGTGATCCGCTGAAGAAACACTATGGGACTTCAGCTTTCCAGTCTAAAGTGTAAAGCTCAGGATGAAGTGCAGAAGCCTGGGGGGGGGGGGGGGGGGTAGGGGGAGCTGTTCCTGGCACCCTTTCCTTAATCATGGCCTGCAATGAGATCATGGTGGAACCACACAATGAACCATCTGTAGGTCCCCACTGCGTATGACAGCCGCCAGAGAGGAAGAGCCCAAAGCAACCTCTGGGTTGTGGCAGGAGAGATGGCCTTGTCCCGAAGTCTTTCTGGGAGCCTGTTCCTGGGATGCTGGGAGGTTTACCCGCACCGATCCAGAATTAGCAGCAACTGCCTTAGCCACGGCCTCAAGGATGCTGCAAGGAGACATACTGCAGACAGCAGTCCACGAACTGTGTCCCCCATGTGTGCCCATCCTGGCAGATTCCAGGGGCCAATGTCCTAAACCACCGTTGACAAATTATGCCCCACTCGGAACGACTTTGGATGCAATCATCCTCAAGGCTCCTTTGAACCTGGTGGGGGATGTGGCTTCTGAAGGAACAGGAGAGGCCACTGAAATTCACAAGGCTGAAAAAAACCTACCACAAAAGAGGCTTCTGCTCCATGCTTCCACAGAAGGAAGCCTCCGCCTTGGCTTGGGATCTGATGCTGCTGCCTCAGAGAACCCTAAGGCATCAGAATGCTAATGAGATGGCTCAGTGGTTTACGAGCATTGGCTGCTCTACCAGAGGTCCTGAGTTCAATTCTCAGCAACCACATGGTGGCTCACAACCATCTAGAGTGGGATCTGATGCCCTCTTCTGGCCTGCAAGCATACATGCAGATAGAGCACTCATACCTTAAAAAAAAAAAAGACACAAAGAATTCTAAGTTCAGAGGGTTCCCACCCCACAGGGCAACCTCAACACCAAAGCTAGAAAAGACCCATGAGCTTTGGGGTGGACTGCCCCCAGAGGCTCCATCAGTACAAGCCCGTCCCTTGGTGGGGAGGGTATCCAAAAAGTTATTTGGAGAGACGACTCAGTGGTTAAGAACACTGGCTGCTCTTACGGAGGACCCGAGCCCCCACATGGGGGCTCACAGCCACCTGTAACTCCAGTTCCAAAGGATCAGACACCCTCTTCTGGTCTCTGAGGACAATGAACACACATGGTGCCCACACAGAGAAACAGGCATACATACATACATACATACATACATACATGTAAAATTTAAAAGTAAACATGTAGCCGAACATGGTGGTGCATACCTTGAATCCCGGTACCCAGGAGGCAGAGGCAGGTGGATCTCTGTGAATCTCAGGGAAGGCTGGCCTAGATAGTGAGTTCCAAGCCAGCTAAGAGCAAAACAGTAAGACCTTGTCTCTAAATAAACAAATTTTTTAAAAAGGCTTTTTGCAGTGACAGGCATGGTAGTGTGGACCTATAATCCCAGCATTCTGGAGACTGAGCCAGCAGGACCTTGTGTTTGAGGCCAACTTGGTCTCTATACAGCAAGACTTTGAATGAATGAATGAACGAATCTGCCAAAATAAAATAGCCAATTTATTTTGTGACTTTCCCAAAGTCCTATTTTCCAGGGCCGGGGAGATGGCTCTTTTGGAGGGCCCAGGTTCACAGCCAGCATCCACATCAGACAGACAACATCCTGTAACTCCAGCTCCGAGGGATCCAACACTCTCTCTGACTTCTATGGGCACCCACAAACACGTGGCATATGTTCACACAGGCACGTACACGTAGGTGAAAATAAATCTTCAGAATAAATACCAACGGTGGACATGTCCGGCTTCCACCCAGCATCTACCCATCCCTCCCTCAGTGCAGCCCCTTGCTATCTCCTCACACACGAGCACTAGCCAGTCTTATTTGATCTTCTGTTAAAGTTTATCCAGGCAACAGGCCGGGGGCGCAACTTGGAGACAGAGTAGGTTTAGCACACATACCACCCCTCTCACACCCACCCGCCACCTCCCCAGCCTCGAGTCCGGCCTGAAAGGACCAATTACGGGGGGGGGGGGGGGAATAGGGCACTGGTTCTCAACCTGTGGGTCGAGACCCCTTGGGTCACCCGACCCAGTCACGTGTCAAATACCCAGCCTATCAGGCATTTACATTACGAGTCATAACAGTAGCAAAATTACAGTTATGAAGTAGCAAGGAAAATAATTGTATGGTTGGGGGGGGGTCACCACAACATGAGGGACTGTATTAAAAGGTCGAATAGGAAGGCTGAGGACCACTGTCCTAAGGTCTTATCTACAGGTCCCCCCTGTGGTGATGACTAAGAACCAGGTGAAATGATAAGACATTACAGGTGATGCCTGTGGGCGGCGGCACAGATGTCCTGATAGCCCCAGGGTTCTGGACATTCCTCTCCCTAACAAGGACTTCTGTCTTCACCCTTCTCCCTAGTATTAATATTCACTTCTAACTCCACGGTTAGTAAGGAGGAAGGCTTCAGTTCACAGGGCTTCATGCAACCATGCTGTTACCTGTTCTTACTGGGCTTAGTAAAAAGAAAACAGACTTAAACACCAACAAATGTATTTAATGACATCAAAAACTGCAATCCGGGGCCTACAAAATAACCCAACTTGTGAAACGTCTGCCATGAAGCCTGCAGCCTGGGTCCGATCCCCAACACCCGCATAAAGGTGGAAGAGAATGGACTCCACGTGAGCACGGCGGCACACGTGCACCCCTACACATATCATATACGCACACAAGAATAAGAAATGAAAATCGTTTTAAATGTTTGAACAACATCTGAGCTGGGGACGGGGCTCCGTTGGTAAAGTGCTTGTCTAGTACGCAGGAGACCCCGGGCTGGATCGGGGGGCGCCCACCTGTAACCCCAGCATTTGGGAGGCAGAGGGAGGGAAGAGGATCAAGAAGCTCAAGGCCATCTTTTTGCTAAGTAGCAAGTCTGAGGCCAGTCTGGCCGACATGAAGGGGATGGGGTACAGGGGAAGGTGGGGATGGAAAGAAACAGATCTACCAAATATAATGACCATGAGTCTTAGAAGAGAAATCCCTAACGGAACCATCTTGCCTTCACACCTTTAATAAATAAACAAACGAACGAACGAATGAATGAATAAAACCATCGTGTCTTCACACAAATAAATAAATAAATAGATCTAAGTCCACTAATTATGGGCCAAGCCCTGTGGCTGTGAGATTCAGCCCCAGCCACTGAGGTATCTCTGTTCTCTACTTACCTCCTGTTCTATTTGTTTATAGACCCCTCAGGGACCCCCCAAATTTCACCCCTTGGATAAAACAGGATCTGAAAACACTAAACTTTTCAAAGCTGTTTCAATCCACGCGTTGGCTTTCCCCCTAAACGTCTATTTGGGTCACGTGACTTAAGCCCTTTTGTTTTAGTGACAGAAGGGCGTGCTCACATAAAAATAATAATTTCCATTGAGACCAACTGAAAATACCAAGGGGATGCCTGTATCGTGGTTTCCTATCATCTCAGCCACACACGAAGGACAAGAAATGTAAAGAAAATCCCAAGTAAATTACAAACTGACTCCATCACGGCTAGGATATTCAACCAGAGATAATGTTCGGGGTTCTAGTGAAACTTTACTCACCTTTAGGAAAAATACACCTATCGTTGAAATCCCAGCCCTGTCCTCCAGCACGTGAGAGTATAACCGTGGGTGCTGGGAAATGTAGTTTTAGGTTTGTTTTGTTTTCTGACGGCACATGGCTGGCTACCCCGGCACATGGCTGGCGATCTCAACACGCCAGGACGTGGACCGGAGTGAGCGACACTCCCACCAGGTTGCTCTGCGGACACTTGGGTGGCTGGTGACCTGCCCGTGCCCAGGAAGTCTTGCACTACGCAGAGAGGAACACGCTGAGCACAGGTTGTCTATGGAGCCGGAAGAACTTCCTCCCACTCCACGCCATCTGGAAGAACAGTCTGTGCAGGCCGAATCAGGTCACCAGGAAAACCCACCCAAGAAGGAGTCCCTCCAAAGTGACCTCTGGGGACTACGGAAGCGACCCGGGGAGCGGGAATCTCGGGTCTCCCGGTCACAGGGGACCTGCCGGGGGGGGGGAGGGGGGGACCTGATGGAGTCCACCCAGCGCGCGGCTCGGCTGACGACACTGCCCGGGACCGCGTGGCGGGGCGGGGTGCCGCGCACCGCGCCATGTAAGGGAAGATCTCCCGGGCAGCGGCGGCTCCGGACGCCACCCGGGGCGGCCAGCGTGGACGAGTCCCCGCGCCCACGTGGCGCCCTGGCACGGCCACGCGTGGCAGGAGTGCCCGGATCGCCCGTGCTCGCTCCCTCCCGCTGTTGCATCATGCACCACGCCGCGCCTGCAGAGGACCAAGATGGACTCGGAGGAGGAGGCGACCGGAACACGAGTGCCGGCCCCACGCACGCATCCCCGGAGATGGGGAGGTTAAGAAGAACCCTCGCCCTGCCTGAGTGCCCACGGGAGGCTCTGGGTTCCCACAGAGAGAGGAGAGAGAGGAGAGAGGAGGTGACCCAGGCTTGTCCGGCTTCCTGGGCATTCACCCGGGCTCGCGTACTCACCGAGGAGGCGACGGGATGCTGAGCTGGGTGGGGACCGCGGGTAAAAAGAAGCGCTCACACCTGCTGGCGGAGGGGATGGCGCGCGGGCGGGCGGGCGGGCGGGCGGGCGGGCTCCGAGCGGGTTTCATCAGCCGCGCGCCGCCCTCCGCGGGCCCCCGCGGCCACGGCCAGGCACTCGCGTCAGCTTCCCGGGCACCAATGACTGCGCTGCGCGGCCGCGCCCCTGTGGGCGGGGACACCCGAGACCGGGCTTCCCCGGCGCTTGCCCTTGGTCCCCGGCAGCTGCAAGAGTGCTTATGTCAGAGAGCCGGTGGGTGACACGGGCTGGGCTGCGCCAGCCCCCACCTGGGGAGCCACGGACGGCAGCTAACCTTTCCTGCTCCGAGCTGGATGTGAGACACACTTGAAAGAAATGTTAGGGACTTCGCCATTTGTCATTGGACTTCTTCACGGGCCGTGCCCTCGCTAACGCCTTAGCCTCGCCCTTGTCGGGAAGGGCCCCAAAGCCCGCAAAGCCTCCCTTTGATATGGCACTTCCTCGCTAGGCTAATAGGCCAGTGGTGGCAGCTCACCCCGAGGGACTCACCCCAAGTTTAGTACCCAAATCCAGTCTTCACCTCTCAGATTCCTTCTGATCTCTGCTCCAAAAGCAAGTACGGGGCTGAAGAGACAGCTCAATGACTGCTCTCTCAATTCCCAGCGCCCACATGGTGGCTCACAACTGTCTGTAACTCATGCCCGTGATGCACAGACATATGCCGACAGAACACCAATACACAAAAATGAAGTTTTTTTTTTTTTTTAAAGGGCTACATCTATAAAGTTCCAATAGTCACGGGACATGGGAGAAGTAAACATCTCATTAACACTGCCATGGCCACACGGTCTTTGTAGGAAAAAAAAAAAAAAAGATGGATGATAATGCGTGTTCTCAAGTGTCCTTTATCGGTAATGGGGGTCATTGTCAGCCACAGAGGTGACACTCCTGTGGAATTAACGAACAATTTATTAATTTATACTGCCCGGCAGAAAGTTTTAATGAACACGCAGAGGGAGGTCAATAGCACGAAGGCACTTTGAGCAGTGTTTGGACTTACAATAAGGCGCCAAACATGCTTTGTTTTAAAATGGCCAAACGAGGCGTCAAGTCATGAGTGATGAAATGAGGCCTGTCAATCTTGTAAGGAGGTCTCCGGAACCTTTAGAACCCTTTACCAGCTGACCTCAGTGTAAGGGGTGCCCCAGGCTCCCAGAAGGAAAGCCTCTCATCTCTGAGAGCCAGCCCACCAGCGTTGCCTTCAGCATCCGGTGAGCAGTGGACTCTGAATGTGACCGCTTCATTTACTGTGTATCCTCCATGAATTATTTCATTCCTGCTTACAAAAATTTACGCTCTCTTAAGAACTACAGGTGGTCGTTGTTTGGGACTGAGTTCGTGCACTAGGCTCCCACAGGGCAAGCTGGAAATCAAAGTGGAGTCCCTCGTGGTGAAATTCCACATCACCCAGCTGAAACCAAACTGACTTTTCAAGACATTAGGGATAGCCAGTTCAAACTGTCAGAATAGTGAGTTCCCTCCGCCTACACCCTTACACGAAAAGGGTAACACGGTGTTAACCAGTTATTTTTCTAGTGTCCCTTCTAAGTGCGTCCTTCAACTCTTTTCTGTCTGTAAAGCCAACTTGGCCAGGCGACCGTGGAGGTTAGAGGATGGCATCGGATCTCCGGCAGCTGGAGTTATGGGCGATTGTGAGCCTCTTTGTGGTGCTGGGAAGCCAAGGAGCCATCTCTCCAGCCCCTGATTTTTTTTTTTAACTGACATTTGGCTTGAAAACCTTAAAGATATTCCACATTAAAAAAAAAAAAAAAAAAACCAGCCGGGCGGTGGTGGCGCACGCCTTTAATCCCAGCACTCGGGAGGCAGAGCCAGGCGGATCTCTGTGAGTTCGAGGCCAGCCTGGGCTACCAAGTGAGTTCCAGGAGAGGCGCAAAGCTACACAGAGAAACCCTGTCTCGAAAAACCAAAAAAAAAAAAAAAACCAACCTAGATTTTTGTCTGCCTAGGAGATTTTTAGCACAGTGCCCAGTTCAAGGATCCCATTAAGCAGATGGCCTTCAGACCCACAAGAGGAAGCCCTCAAGGACAGGGCCCATGAAGCCTGTAGTGGTTTAAGTGAAAATGCCCCCATAGGCTCTTAGGGAGTGGCCTTGTTGGAGGAAGTGTGCCATTTGTGGTGGGCTTTGGGGTTTCAGAAGCTCAGGCCAAGCACAGTGTCTCTCCCCGTTCTTGCTGCCCGCCGAACCTGATGTAGAGCTCCTCGGCTCCTTCTCCAGCACCGTGTCTCCCTGTGCACCTCCATGTTTCCCACCGTGATAATGGACTGAACCTCTGAACTGTAAGCCACCCCTCATTAATAAAAACTTAAATGTTTTCCTTATACGAACTGCGATGGTCATGGTGTCTCCTCACAGCAGTAGGACAGTGACTCAGACAAAGTGACTTCAGGGAAGAAAAAAAAAAAAGAAAAGAAAAAGAAAGAGTTTGACACAGGGAAATTCAATTGTGGTCCAGGTCACAGAGAGGATGCTGTTAACCCTGCCTCAATATTGTAACAAATGGCAAAGGTCCAAAGGAGCCCTGAGTGAGAGGTCTCCAGCACAGCCAGCTGAGCCAAGATTCCAAACACCCGGAAGGAAAGAGGCTGCTGGAACTCAGCCCCCGGTGAACACCTTGTCGGTCAGGGTGTTAAAAGTCACATCCTAGACTAGCATCATCGGACGGCATGAGGCACCTCTGTAAGACAGGTGCAGGCTGCTGCTCTGACCCACTCCGCAGCAGCTCCTGGCCTGGGGGGAAGGGCCTTGATTACCATCATCCTTGGTTTCTGCACGGCTCAGTAGGAATTTATTAGTTGCATACAGATACAAACTTCATTGTGAACATGGGAAACCTATATAAAGATGGACAGATGAGACGAGGCATAAATGGATTTGCACACATAGTCAACAGATCTTCTATAAAGGTACAAATAGGACTGGAGTGATGGCTCAGCAGTTAAGAGCACTGGCTGCTCTTCCAGAGGTCCTGGGTTCCGTTCCCAGCACCCACATGCTGGCTACCAACCATCTGTAACTCCAGTCCCACAGCATCTGATGCCCTCTTCTGTGCCAGGCATGTCCTTAGTACACAGACATACGTGCAGGCTGAACACACACACACACATAATGTTGTTGTCGTTGTCTATTTGTTTGCTTTTGGGGTTTTTTTTTTTTTGTTTTGTTTTGTTTTTTTTGGTTTTTCGAGACAGGGTTTCTCTCTGTAGTTTTGCGCCTTTCCTGGAACTCACTTTGTAGACCAGGCTGGCCTCGAACTCACAGAGATCCGCCTGCCTCTGCCTCCCGAGTGCTGGGATTAAAGGCGTGCACCACCACCGCCTGGCCGTTTTTGTTTTTTGAGTCAAGGTTTGTCTGTGTAGCAGCCCTGACTGTCCTGGAACTCGCTCTGTAGCCCAGGCTGGCCTCGAACTCACAGAGATCCGCCTGCCTCTGCCTCCCAAGTGCTGGGAAGCATGCACCACCACTTCTCGGCTCACATAAAAATTTTTAACATTCATTTATTTTTAATCATGTGTGTGTCTATGTGAGTGCATGCCATGTGTGTGGGTGCCCGTGGAGTCCAGAGATGTCGGGTCCCCTGGAACTGTAGTTAGAGGCAGTTCAGCTGCCCAGCATGGGTGCTGGGAATTGAACTCGGGTCCTCTGGAAAAGCAATATATGCTCTTAACGGCTAAGTCATCTCTCCAGCCCAAAGTAGAACAATGTTTTAAGTGCAAAGTCTCTTTAATAAATCCTGTTAGAATAATGGATCTCCACAAAATAAACAAAATAAGATAAATGTACAAGACACATGCCACGTTAAACAAAAGTTAACTTAAAATGAACTGTGGTGGTTTGAATAAGACCATCTCCTGGGGCACAAGCGTCTGAATAGTTGATCTCCAGTTAGTCTCACTATTTGGGTAGATTGGTGAGCTGTGGCCTTGCAGAGGAAGAGTGTCAGCTCGGACTGGCTTTCTATAGTTTCTAGAAATTATATGGTCACATGCTCATCACAGCAATAGAAAAGCAACTAACTACTACCCATAGGACACACAACTCAAACTCCTGAGAGACGCCTGGGCTAAAATCTAGGTGACTTTGGGTTTGGTGGGGTCTTTTTCTTTCTTGTGGCGCTAGGTGTTAAACCCAGGGCCGAGAGCACACTGGGTAATGAATCTCCTTATCCCTGAGCTACAACCCCAGGTATAGTGAAAACTTTTTAGAGACACCAAAATCACAATCTGTGGAAGAATTAATTGATAGGTTGGAGTTATTAAAATTTAAAACCTGCTCTACAAAAGATACTTCTATGAGACTGAAAAAGACAATCCACAGCCTTGGAGGAAATCCTTTGCAAAACGCATGCACGATAAAGGACTTGTGTTCAAAACTTGCAAAGAGCCCTTAACATTTAACAATATCAGACCTTGAGGATATGTGTGTGTGTGTGTGTGTGTGTGTGTGTGTGTGTGTGTGTGTGTGCAAATTTAGCAACTTCTGTATTGTCCCTCAACAATGAACACAGACAACCACTGTGACTAAGTGTGTGCACTTTCCCGGCCAGAGACTAAGCAATCCAACAGAAAAGCAGCGGGACGTGTCTGACAGACACTTGGATTGGAAAACCCTGCAGGGGACAGGAGGAATGGCTCAGTGATTAAGGGCACTGCCTGTTCTTCCAGGGGACCCAGGTTCAATTCCCAGCACCCACATGGCTCATAACTGTCTGTAACTCCAGTTCAAGGGTACCCGACCCCCTCATATAGACATACATGCAAGCAAAACACCAGTGCACATAAAAAGAGAAAAACCACAGATGATAGGTTAAAGGATGTAACTGCTATTCAAGTAATGGAGAATAACACCTATGTGCTGTTTGTCAGCTGGACACACGCTGGAGTCATCTGGGAAGAGGGAACCTCAATAGAGAAAGCGCCTCCTTCAAACTGTCCTATAGGCAAGCTTGTGCGGCATTTTGTCGATTGATGATTGATGTGGGAAGGCCCCGCTCACTGTGGGGAT